TGTTTGGCTTGTTTATATTTCGAGCTCAAACAGTGTTTTCGTGTTCGGCTCGTTTGTTTGGCGAGCCGAACACGTGTCGTTCACGAAAAAAGAGTCGTTTTGACAACCCTAATCACATAGCAATAAGATGTTAATGATTGGAGCAAGATTTAAAACATCATTTGAATCTAATTTAATAATTTTTATTCTATTTTTTCATTAATACTTTTAATTGATTATAAATCTTTGTAGTCTTGCAATCAATTATTTTTTTTAAATACTACTCATTAAAGATGTATATATAATTGATTGATAGTATTTCTAGCCAAAAAGAGTCGAGCACAAGCGAACAAATATTTGTTCGTGTTGTTCATGTTCGACTCGTTAACTTAGCGAACGAGCCGAACACGAGTTGTTCGCAAACAACAAGCTGTTTTGACAGCCTTAATCGTGGTAATCGACTCGTCGCCCAAATCGACAACCAAAGAGGCCTTTGTCACTGCCTTCCCAACCTATAGATAGGCATCTCCGATACTCTACAAGGTATGCTACTCATCTCAACTCTCTGGCACTTACCTCGGACTACTCTAACAGAATAGGAAAAAAGAGGTAAAGTTCTTCGGCAAGCCTCCTCCTCTAGTTTGCCTCCTTTCCGGTAAGTCACTTATTCCTTTCACTTTTAATTTAAGCATTTATTTTCCTAAGTGTTGAGCTTAGGTTGAGTTAACTCGTTCAATAGCTTTGGGCTAAGCTTGGGTCTTTCCGGTAAGTCACTTATTCCCTTCACTTTTAATTTAAGCATTTATTTTCCTAAGTGTTGAGCTTAGGATGAGTTAACTCGTTCAATAGCTTTGGGCTAAGCTTGGGTTTGAGCTCGACTCAGGTCGACTCGAACCCGACCTAACCCAAACTCGAACTGGACCTAACCCAATCCCGAACCTAACCTAACCCAAACTTAAACCTAACCTAACTCAAACCAAAACTTAACCTAACCCAAGCCTAACCCAACACAAACCAAACCTAAACCTAACCTAACCCAAACCTAAAACTAACCCGACCCAATCCTGAACTTAACCCAACCCAAAACTAACCAAATCCAAACCTAACCTAGCCCTAACCCGATCCAACCAACCAAGGTCTGACCTGCTCCAACCTATATTCGACCTAACCCAAACCAGGGCCAACTTGACCCAACCCAGGTCCGACCTCACCCAACCCAGGTTTAACCTGACCTAACCCAAGTCCGACCTGACCTAATTCAAACCTGACCTAACCCAACATAGGTTTGACCTGATCCAATTCAGGTCTTACATGACCAAATCCTGATCCGACCTAACCTAACCCAAGTCAAACCTAGGTCAACCCATGTCAACCACATTTGAGCCCAACTTTGACCAGACACGATTTGGAAATCTAGCTTACCTCAGCTCGATCCTAACCCGAATTTAATCCAAGGTTAAAAATATATGTTGTTTATTTTATATCTTGCATAGTCTTCAAAAATAAAAATAACAAAAAATACATAACAAAAACAAGGATAAAAACCTCTAGTAGGATGGTTTTCTCCACAAACATAAAAAAATAAAATCTTAAACAAAACAAACTCTAAACTTCCAAAAACCTTGATTTCAAAAACATAACTGACAAATCTAAGAATCGAAACAAAATGTGAATTAAATATTGAATCTCAAATAACATTTAGAACACACCAAGATAAAAAACGAGAAAACCTAGGTAGATTTGACTTAAACCTTAGGTTAGCTACCTTAGATACCAAACTGAAGATGAAACACTGACCTCAAATTAGTCTGAGTATAGAAGTCTATCTTAGTTTGATGGGTACCCTAATTAGTGCTAAGGACTATGACATGCAAAATAACAAACTTATCCCCTGAGATAAGTGGGAATACCTTAGAATAATACAACCCATGGTTACTGACGAAGGTATTTAAGACCACTTTGAAACTACGAATCCTCCATGCTACGACATTTGAGAGGAATAACTGGTTATGAGGTTGGTTATAGTTGATGGATGCCAATGTTCCCGAGATGATGGAATGTCATGGGCATCCTGACCGATGACGTTATTCTTAAAGTCTAGATTAGCCCATCCCTTAGGTTTCACTTCCTTATAGAGTTCGTTAGTGATGACGATATACGACGATTAATGTCAAATCGGACATGAGATTTGGCAGTATAATCATATGAAAAAAGAGCACTACACAACAAGTGAATTATATGTTGAAAGAAAAGTCAGATGATAGCAGCCACGATTTGTTGTGAAGGGATTTTAACATAAGGAAGAAGTGACCACATGAGATTCTTTTCTCATGTGATTAAGAAGAGAACTGTCTGAATTGTGCTAAGTTTAATAACAGAGAAACATCTATATTTGGAGCAAATTAATGTAAACACGTCATTTTTACATGGAGATTCGGAAGAGAAATTATACATGGTGGAACCGAAAGTATATGAGATTCCAGGAAAAGAAGACTTGGTCTATGAATTGAAGAAAAGTTACAATGGCTTGAAGTAGGTCCCAAGGTAGTGGTATAGAAGGTTTGACAAGTTCATATGAGACAGTGGGTATATGAAGTGCTAAAGAGACCACCGTTGCTTCATAAAAAAAAATTGGTAATTGATATATCATGCTTCTTTTGTATGTGGATGGCAAGCTGATTGCATGAGTATATATGAAGAAAATCAGGAACATGAAAAAACAATTATCAAAGAAGTTTGAGATAAATAATTGACATCCAACCAAGAAGATCCTTGAGATTAAAATCAATAGTGACATTATAGTTGATACAGTGAAGTTGTTTTCAGAAGATCCTACAGAGGTTCAATACGAGTGAGACAAAATCAGTTTGCATCCCCCTAGTCACTTCAAGCTACGTAAGAATTATTGCATACATCTCAAACATAGCAAGCACGGATGGTGAGAACTTTATATGCTTAACGGTTAGAAGTCTGATGTATGTTATGATTTATACGAGATCAACTATAGAATATGTAGTGAGAGTAGCAAATATGTACAAGCGTAATCCATGCAGGCATCATTAGGAACCGATGTAGTGAATTCTCAGGTATTTGAGAGGAACAATTAACGGGATAATTGGATTTAAAAGTACATGATGAAATAAGTACAACATGATATATCTTCTTTTTGAGGAACAAAGTGGTGAGTTGGTTTTCCATATCGCAAAAGCTTTTTGCACTTTCAACTATAGAAGCCGAATATATTATTATCATTGAGGCTAGTAAGATGATGATTCAGCTACATAATTTTATGGTAAAATTGGGCAAGGAGCAGACGATTGGGAAACCTTCATAATGACAGTATGAATGTTATTCATCTTATCATGAATACTATTTTTCATGTTAGGACAAAGTATATTCATCTGATGGATCACTTTATTCACTCTCATAAAAGAATGGTAGTATTTTTTGAGAAGAAACACACAGCTCAGAATCCTACAGACATGTTGCTATGGTTCATGACTATGAAAATAGTACAGATGAATGCATAAATCTGAAGGAGAGTTGGTTGTGATCAATCTTCAAGTGAGAGATTGTTGAGATGTGGAGCCCGAAGGAGCGTGCACATGGACGCAATAAAGGAATCCAAGGGCGCCAAGCAGCAGGAGAGGTGGCGTACCTACACTAGCAAAAAGTTATTAGGATGGTGTAACCACGCCTAGATCGGCATATCTACAGCATGGTCTTTCGACTCGTGCCTTTGAAACATAGAGCGCATGGGATAATTACATTGTAAAGCGACGTAACAACGTTGCGTGCAATTATCCCTACATTTTGGATTAAAGCCTTCGATTCGAAGCAATGACAACGGATATGCACACAATGATCTCTCAAAGGGCTTTCTACATGAGAGGTAAAGTTCGAGAGGCAGATTTTGGGGTGTGTCATTTTTCTTGCGCGATCAAGTGAGGATTTGGAACGGTAGTCTTGTAAGTTCCATTGTCGAGAGAAGATCTAAGTAGTGAAAAGCTCTGTACATTTCACTTTTTATAGTGAAAGTTTGTTGTGGTGTGGTGTAGCTCGGTAGTATTTTCTTGTTGTCAAATTTTTTTACGTTAAATTTTGAAATTTTTTTTGTAATTATTTTGTTGAATTTCTCGAATTGATGTGATCCTATTTCCTATGGTGTAGCTTTGTTTTTAAATCGATCGAAGCCCACAGAATTCCAATCCCAACAAATAACAGTCAAATATTTAATATTATATCATAATTATAACTATTTAAAACTTTTAAAAGTGAAATAAACATTTTTAAGTATACTTTTATGACACCAAAGTATTATAAATGTAATACCAAGCATTAGATGAGTAGATACATAAAAATTGTCTGGTATGCATGTAAATTTTTCAAAAAAAAAACACATTAACAAGTACCATGATTATTGGAACATGTTAAGTTAGACTCTTCTGATCTAATTATATGATCAAAATAAAATTATATTTAACAAAAAAAATATAAGAAATTGTATGAAAACTACAAGGTTAGAAAAAAAAAAATCTTGATTTATGATACCCTCTAAAATTTTCTTGTACTTGGTAGGAATCTAAGACTATTTTATACTTTTTAGAAGCATAAAAATTTCTATTCTTTAATGTAAGCATAATTTTTTTTTTGTGCTATAGATAAAAATCTCTAATTTAATATTATTTATTTTTTGTATCTATAACTCTATGATTTTCTACAAATAGATATATTTTTCTAATATTGTACAAAGATTTTCAAAATTTCATGGTGATTTACACATCAATTACAACAAAAATACATACATACATATATATATATATAAAAATAATTTAGATATAATTATACACTGAAGAATTATAATTAGCTACTAGATCTGCTGATATATAAGAATTTAATGGTATGTTTGTAAATTTGGCAAATTAAACCAACAAGAATGTGAGAAACAGAGCTGCCACTCCTGAAAAATCAAAATCACCAAAAAGCCAAAAGCTCACATACAAAAAAAAGAGGGCATTTACCTGAGAAATCTTCCGGCAATCCGTTGGTGGCATCAAGTTGCTCGAATTTGTACAAAGTGTAGCATGAAGAAGCTGATTCCGCCCACAAAAACACGGCAGGAACATTCCTCTTCTCACATATTCGAACAATCCACGGCAAAAGCGCGTCCCCGACAACAATATCAGCCAACGGGTTGAGCTCGTCAAGCACTCGTTGAACTGTATCCGCCATTTTAGACATGACGGAGTTGAAGAATTCGGTGTAGTTGTTGTCGCCCGTGCGTTCGGATGGAAGGAAGTTGGGGATGGAGTGGATCTGGAGTTTGGAAGTTAGAGATGGGGATGGATGATCGGAGCTGATTATGTTAAGTCATTCTTCTGTAACAATAATGGTGATAATTAGGGTTTTTGGGGGGAGGAGGCAGAGAGAGAGCATGGGGTTTATGTGGTCGCGGCCTGGGAAAGGGATGGTTACCATATGACTTAGTGGGGAAGAAGTGTTCAGGGAAGCCTGAACTTGAAGGTGTTAAATGGAGAGAGCATGATAACGGATGGTGTTAGTATTATTGGTAGATCCTTTAAAGCTTCTGAAAGTGGGATGTATAATTGTTGTTTGTAAATTCACCGTTTATGTAGTTCTGTGATTTTGATTTGAAACTTGATTAATTCAACTTTTTAGCATTTGTATGAATCAAAATGTAATATAAAAGTTTGGTAATATTAAAATTAATCATGTACAAACATTACAAACCAAAAAAAAAACGACAACACTTCATATACATAAAAGTTTCCGGGCAAAACGTTTGGCTTGGTGGCGAACGCCGGCGAAAGAGGATGAGGAGTCGGCAGCAAAACGCCCAGGCTTGCCGTGGACCTCTCCTCTAAAGGTTCGACGGCAGCAGCTGGCATGCGCTCGGCAGCAACCTCTTTGTTTCTCCTATTTTTAAACCAATAAAAAACATATTTTCTATATACATTACCACAATCTCGCAAACTCTGATAAATTTCCTCGAGCTGAAGAGCAGTTGGCATGTGAATGTCGTTATGGTAATGTTGACGAAGGATTCTCGTCTGCTCTTGAGTTGGAGACCAAAGACGAGGCATGGTAAACTCAGAGACAATAAGCGCAAAACTCAGTCACAAGAAGCGCATTTATAAGTAATGAATTTTTACATAAATTAAATTAATCATAATTATTAAAAAAAGTTAAAAACTCGCGTGCAAATACAAAGAATTTGAGTGGATACATGTAAATTTTCCTATTTTTCTCTCTGTGACGGGTGCCCAAAGAAGAAGCAGAGGAGTACCTGATGGAGGCTCGCAGGAAGGAAGGGTTTGTCTGAGCAAAGCCGCCAGAGGGGATTCGTCGGGGTAGGAAGAACAAGAAGGGAGGTGATTTCTCTTTTTTTTTTTTAGGGAAGATAGGGAGAGGGAGTTGGTATGGGTGGTTGTCGTGAGGTGAGAAGAGGGAATGGGGTCGATGAATGGGGTGGCTGATGTGAAGAAATGGGAGAGTTGTGGGAAGGAATAGAGGAAGAGTAGGGAGAGGGAGGAGTGGGAGAGGGAGGAGGGAGAGGGAGTTGATATGAGTGGTTGTCGTGAGGTGAGAAGAGGGAATGGGGTGGCTGATGTGAAGAAATGGGAGAGGTGTGGGAAGAAATGGGAGGGGTATGGGTGGTTGTCGTAGTGATCGGTGAAAACTAATTGTAGAGTGGTCATACCAGTAAAACAATCTTGTGATGTGATTGTGACAGTGCCCTGCAGCCGACCGAGAGGGCGTGAGGTGGGGTTATGGCCCTCGGTGATGGGATCATCTAAAACAGATATGCTACCGAAGGTGCTAAACTTGTTGTATTCGTGGATGGGGCTCGACAACACTCTTATGGCAGTCGCATTGGGGAATTTGGTTCTTTCATGCCCGTAGCAACGCAGCCATATCTTTTTCATTCCTCTTTGAAGTTTCAGTGCTGATTTTTTAAGTTAAGAATAGGGTGACGGCCAAAAAAATGGCGAGAAAGAAGGAGATGGAAGCCATTAGATGTAGAGGATTGAAGGATTTTGAATGAATGAATATTGTAAGTGTTGCCATTTGGGACCTCTGAGTTTACCATGCCTCGTTGTTGGTCTTCAACTCAAGAACAGACGAGAATCCTTCACCAACATTACCATAACGACATTCGCAAGTCAACTGCTCTCCAGCTCAAGAAAATCTACCAGAGTTTGCGACATTGTGGTAAGGTATAGATAAAAAAAAAAATACTGGTTTAAAAATAGGAGGAACAGAGAGTCTGCTATCAAGCGTAGTTGTTGCCATCATAAACCCACCTCACGCCCTCTCGGTCGGCTGCAGAGCACTGTCACATCGCAAGATGGTTCTACTGGCATGGCCACCCTACAATTGGTTTTCACCGATCACTGCGACAGTCACCCATTTCTTCCCACACCTCTCCCATTTCTTCACATCATCCACCCATTCCTCCACCCCATTCCCTCTTCTCACCTCACGGCAGCCACCCATACCAACTCCCTCTCCCACTCCTCCCTCTCCCTACTCTTCCCCATTCCTTCCCATACCTCTCCCATTTCCTCACATCAGCCACCCCATTCCTCCATCCTATTTCCTCGTCTTACCTCACGACAGCCACCCATACCAACTCCCTCTCCCTGGCCTACCTTTCCTCCTATAAAAGCACCAGCCACTTCACTTCTTCTACATTAAGAAACCTTCTCCACCAAACAGCCCCTCTTTCTCTTCTTCTCCTCCTTGTCGTGAGCTGTAATTCAAAAAAAGAAAACAAGAAATCATCTCCCTTCTTCTCTGTCCTCCCCCGACAAACCCCCTTCGGCGATATTCGCTCAGATGAACCCTTCCTTCATGCGAGCCTCTGTCAAGTACTCCTCTGCTTCTTCTTCTTTGGGCACCGGTCACAAAGAAAAAAAAATAGGAAATTTTACATGCATACCACTCGAATTCTTTGTATTTACACGCGAATTTTTAGCTTTTTTAATAATTATAACTAATTTAATTTAAATAAAAATCCATTACTTATAAATATGCTTCTTGTGACTGAGTTATGCGCTTCTTGTCTCTGAGTTTACCATGCCTCGTCGTTGGTCTCCAACTCAAGAGCAAACGAGAATCCTTCGCCAACATTACCATAACGGCATTCGCAAGCCAACTGCTCTTCAGCTCGAGGAAATCTACCAGAATTTGCGACATTGTGATAAGGTATACAGAAAAAAAAGTTTTTTAGTGGTTTAAAAATAGGAGAAACAGAGAGACTGCTATCGAGCATTTGCCAGCTGCCACCGAGGAGCCAGCTGCTGTCGTCGAACCTCTAGAGAAAAGGTCCACGACAAGCCTGGGCGTTTTGTTGCCGACTCCTACTCCTCTTTCGCCGGCGTTCGCCACTGCGCCAAGCGTTTTGCCCAGAGACCAACGATAAGTAGGTGTAAATCTTTGTTCCTTTGTGTATATGGTTTTTTTGGTTTGTAATGTTTGTACATGATTAATTTTAATATTACCAACCTTTTATATTACATTTTAATTCATACAAATGCTAAAAAGTTGAATTAATCAAGTCTCAAATCGAAATCATAGAACTACACAAACAGGCTTAAACGGTGAATTTACCAAACAACAATTATACATCCCACTTTCAGAAGCTTTAAAGGATCTACCAATAATACTAACACCATCCATTATCATGTTATCTCCATTTAACTCCTTCAAGTTCAAGCTTCACTATAATTGGTCAAATCAAATGTTAAAGTTTGTGAATAGCTGCAAAAAATCACAGGTCCATGTGTTAGCGTTAAATATATTTAATAACAATACCAATATAATAAATAAGACGCAAAGAAGAGAAGCAACCTTTTCTCAGAGTCTCTGTAAACTCCAACCAATGCTTCGGTTTTATCATAGAAGGCGTCCTTCAAAGCAAAAATTTTTCTATGCGGACTCCTGACGTACCTCTACGTGCGGCGCAAGGTATTCCTGAGTTATTTGTAGGTTATTTATGGGTTATTTTCAATAATCCTGAAACAACACATGGTCTTTATTTTTGGGTTATATCTGGATTATTTCGAGATTATTGAAAATAACTCATAAATAACCAGAAAATAACTTAGGAATAACAATCACCGCACGTAGAGATACGTCAGGTGTCCGGACAAAAAATGCGCACCCTTCAAAGAGATGACCATGCTTTGAAAGCCACACCCAGCTTCACTGTCTTGTTCAATCCTAGCCCCACTGCATGATTTCGACCTAATGAACTTAGCATGTGAAATGTGATTGGCATGTAAATACAAATGAAAAAAAAGAAAAAAGAAGCAAAAAGGTTACTGCTACATGATAAATAGTTGAGTTAACCCGTTCAATAGCTTTGGGCTAGGCTTGGGTTTGAGCACGACTTAGGTCGACTTGAACCCGACCTAAACCTAACCCAACCTAGGTTTAAACTTAACCTAACCCAAACTCAAACTCAACCTAACCCAAACTCGATCCTAACCTAACCCAAACCTAAGCCTAAACTAACTCAAACCCAAACAAAGCCTAACTAAAACCTAAACCTAAACCTAACCTAACATAACCTAACTCAAATCCAAAACTAACTCGACCCAATCCTGAACTTAACCCAACCCAAAACTAATCAAATCCAAACCTAACCTAACACTAACCCAAACCCAGGTCTGACCCGACCCAACCCAACCAAAGTCCAACCTGACCCAATCCAGGTTTGACCTAATCCAAACCAAGGCTGACCCAACCCAAGTCTGACATCACCCAATCCAAGTCTGACCTAACCCAACCCATGTTCAACCGAACCCAACTAAAGTTTGACCTGATCCAACCAAAGTCCGACCTGACCCAGTTCAAACTTGACCTAACCTAACGTAGGTTCAATTTGACCCAACCAAGGTCTGACCTGACCCAACATAGGTCCTACCCGACCCAATCCCGATCTGACCTGACCTAACTCAGGTCAGACATAGGTCAACCCAAGCCCGCCCAAGTCAAACCTAGGTCAATCTAAGTCAATCTAGGTCAGCCCTATCTAAGCTCAACTTTGAGCAAAATCGATTTAGAAATCTAGCTTACCCCAACTCGATCCTAACCCAAGTCTAATCCAATGCTAAAAGAATATCTTGTTTGTTTATATTTTGCATTCCATGCAAAGTCTTCAACAATAAAAAAACAAAAAAAATACATAAAACAAAGAAAAAAAAGATGAAAACCTCTAGTAGGATGATTTTCTCCACAAGCATAAAAAAATAAAACCCTAAAGAACACAAACTCTAAACTTAGGAAAACATTGATTTCTCAACATGACTGACGGATCTATGAATCAAAACAAAATATGAATTAGATATTGAATCTCAAATAATATTTAGAATACACCAAGAGAAAGAATGAGAACGCAACCTAGGTAGATCTGACATGAACTTTATGTTAGCTACTTCAGATAACAAACTAAAGATCAAACATTTACCTAACATTAGTCTGAGTATAGAAGTCTATGTTAGTTTGATAGATACCCTAATTAGTGCTAAAGACTATGACATACAAAAAACAAACTTATCCCCTGAAACTAAAGGAAATACCTTAGAATGATGTAACTCATAGTTACTAATGAAGGTATTTCAGACTGCTTCGAAACTACGAATCCTCCATGCTACAA